TCTGTGAAATCAATGAGCTTGATAGTTTAAATATTTGCTATGCTAGATGTTAGAGAAAGGACTGGAAAACTTTAGGATCTGCTGTATACAACTTGCCTAACATTTGCGAGATAATCAGAAACAGAAGTGTATAGATGGATTAGGGGGTTAAATGTTGTCTGATATATACCCCTCTCTGTGATCAGAAGCCACCGAGCATGGAGAGAAGGAAATAAGCAGACAGCAAACAGTATAGGGTCTCCAGGAAGGAACCAGAAGGTGAAAGATTTGGGGCAAGGGTGAACTGTGCAGTGAACTGTGCACAAAAATACTATTTCCCATTGCTGGACTCTTCCTTTGCCTGGAATTTGTATACATTTTATTTAAAAGGAAGATAAATAATGGTACATGACTGTTTCCTAACAATTCAGAACAATTCTTAATAAAGAAGAAGAAATGTTGTTTCCTTGTCAGTGCAACCTACCATCCTCTTTTTTACATTTGAGAAGAGCTGAGCAAGTGTTTATACTGCCAGAATGATTGCAATGTGAAAAGGTGGATTTTCATCCTATAATGCTTCCTTCATCTTCCTCATTCCTATAAATGTGATTAATTGTGGTGAAGCAGGTTCAGGACCCACCAAATTAAATGAAGTATAACAGCCCACAAAAGTAAAATGTCCTGTCTCTCTCTGTAAACAAGGATTAAGTGCTGGTTTTAACTACAAGATGACTTTATTGCTCCTATTTGTTTTATGGATTCTTTACTATCCATTACTTAATTGAACTCAAAGCAGAAGCCTGGCTTTATCATTAGGGAGCCTGTGAGCAATCATTAGGTGTCACTGAGCCAGCTCTTCATGTGGTTTGACAGACTTTTACTTTGGAGATAGGATAAGAATAGCTTATTGGATCTGGCTTGGCTATCCTGAAATCAATGTGTGGTATCAGATCCTGAACAGCACACTTCTGCACTACATCTGGAAGATAAAATTTAGGGTCAGTAGGCCTGCTTTGCTGTTGCATTTCATCAGAATTCTAAACGTACACCAGACCAAAACCAGTCACACACAGTTGAATCAGTCTCCTTGTGCCCATGGAAATAACCCTGCTTCCTTGTAAAAATCTTTCTGCAGAAAGCTTTCTAATTTATATCATCATATTTATCCTTACTGGCACTCTTTAACCCTTTCTCCTTTTTTTTTTTTATTCCACCCTGAAAACAATTTCAGCTCATTCAGTGGAGTTGCTATAATTGTTCCTCAGTGCTTTTAGATTCATACTTCTCTCCCAGCTCTTTCCATCTAGTAAGCCAGGATCTGGGATCCCTCCTGTGTTTAATTTAGTCAGCGTTTCAGATTAGCTCACCACTACCCATGTGTGTGAACAAAAGAAACTGAGCATGAGCTTTTTGATTGCTACTTACTTAACAAGACTGGTTTTCAGCTTTTCTATAGGAGCTACAGAATCAGCTTAGTGAAAACTTTTTATTGTTCTAAATTTCTGTACAGACACTGAGAAAAAAAAAAGCAAATGAGACAGAATGGGTTGAAGGTGAAAAAGGTGTCAGGAACAGAGGTTTTCTGCTGCGAGAGTTCCCAGTTAACAGGCAGCCTGGGCTTCCTGAACTATTTCTGAGAGGCAGGCTGATTGCTGAGTCAGTGGGCATTTAGTGTCCTTCAAGAATTAATTAAAAGCAGTGAAGAATATGCTTTGCTTCCTCAGTAGGACTTTTTTTTTCCTTAAACTGTTTTGACCATCTTTGGCTGGAGGAAATGGGAGACAACTGCCATTATCACATAAAGGCAAGACCACTTCCTCCAGGACAAGAGTCACAGGTATATGGGTCAAAACAGCAGCTGGAGGTCTTTCAAACACATGAGCTTTTAATAGGCAGACTGACAATAATTGAAGAAAGTTTGTACCAGACCACCTGGAAGCAAGCTTCAGATGTTTACCAATAAGGATTAAGCACCTCTGCCTAACCTTTCTCACTACAGAAATTTTACACAGCTTGATTTAATCCAGGTTGAGATAACAAGCCTCATAGATGAAGTTCTCAGGAGACTTTGTTCAGCTGATTTTCCAAATAAGCTCTGTACTTTAATATTGTTGTAAATGCACATTAATTACCCAGGAACCTTAAATGTATTTGGTAAAGCTGGTTGCCACAGCAGTTGTTGCCATGCTACATGGTCTGTTTTGCATTTAGCTTTTTGGTATGGTAGTATTACAAAATAAGCATACTCGCTGTGGGGAGAAAAGCAGCAACCCACCAAGCCTCTTTCTTCCTAATATGGTGAAATAAAAAGCCTTAGTTCGAGCCAGCTGAAGTGGTGATGGAGTCGAGGCCCAAGGAGCAGGGTCATGGTCAAGATTCACACTGGAAGGGCAGGAAATGTTTAAATTCTCTGACCCTGATTAAATTATGGGACCTAGTGATGCTATCAGAGCTGCCCTTTTCTCCTCCTAGGACATGTTTGATTCCAGACTGGTGAGAGTGTTCCTTACTGCAATTGCTGGCTTGGGATCTATGGGCTGTGCTATATAGCACATGTAGGAACTTATTTTTCACAAAGGTGTATATTAAGTAGGGACATGAATTTCTCAGTGGGCAGCAGTGTGGGGGTTTCAGGCAGAGCCCTGAGCTGAAGCAGAGGCTGGTGAGGGGCAGGCTGCGGCAGGAGCATAGGCATCGGGCCGGGCTGTCTCCTCTGCTCTCACAATGTCCAGAGAACAGGGGCCCCAAACGCCATTAGAGTGCCAGGAAGTTTTGCCTTTTTCCTTATTTGTGTTCACTATCACCTTTTAAACAAAAGAGCTCAGCTTTTCACAGCAGCGAGCAGTTGGTCAGTGGTAGCTGTTTCCCCCATCCCCCTGCCAGCTCCCAGCTGAAGAGATGGGGTTTTCTGGCTGCTTCTCAGGGGTTGTGCTTCTGCTGGTTAAAACCTCTGCTTGGGGACGCTTGGTACAGTATTAACTCGTGATAGTTAGGTCATGATAGTGAGACATGCTTTTTTTTCTTACTTGCTGACGCAGGGAAGAGAGACAGTTGAATCCATAAAAGAAAGGGAAACCCATAAGAAACCAGAGGCTGACACATCCAGAATACATAATCCCAGTGATTATAATTTATCAGGTACCCTAGTCATCTGAGGCTTTGCAAACAAAAGCCGACTGAAACACATCTCCCCAGAGGGAAAGCTATGTGGAAAACACTCAAATAGCTTTAACCACAGTTGTGTCACAAATTCCTCTCAGATTTGGTGACTGTGGCTTGTTCTAATTAAAACAGTAACAGTTTCACCACTGTGTTTTAAAGTAAACAATCATTTTCTGTTTATAAGGGGGGAAAAAGGATAAAAACAGTGAAGATAGCACTTCTCTGCCTGGAGTACATGTCTCCACAGCCCCATAGCACATTTTCTCCTGCAATGTTGTCACCCATCACAAAGTTTTGCTTCTCAGCAGCTCTCCAAGAGAACATGGGCAGTTTTGGCAACTGAATCATCCATATAACAGCTGCATGTGTTCAGAGAAAGGCAAAGGCCTGAGCTTTAACTTTTATAAAGCCTGATCACATCCAAAGCTGGATATGATGTGCTCTGTTGTTTCTACCACAGCTCCCTAACCTGGGGCTCAGACCTAGCCCAGAAGGAACCACTCAGATAGAGCAAGGATGCTGCAAGAGCCCTAAGAAAGCAGCTAGCCCTTCACTGGCAAGGAAGGATGAAGCAGAGGCAGCAGCACAAAGAGGAAAAAGCATGCTTGGTCAGCTTTATTAAATAACATATTCTTTATACATCCATTACCAAAACTTTGACACAGAGGGAAATACTGAAAAGGATATCTTTCTTTTTTTTTTTAGTGGAGTAAAAGTGTTGCCTGTGTTTTTAAACAAAGGCGTGTTGGCAGAATGGAGAAAGGGAAAGAGAATGCAGAAAAGGAAGAGAAAGGGAAACTACATTTGAATTAATTGAGATAAGCGAAGGCCAGAAGACCTTATGACAGAACTTTCCATTAATTCCTGTAGTCTAGCTCTCTGCCATAACTGTGTTACCTCCTAACTCTTTTGTACAAATACTGTTGTGGTTATTATTACTGATTACTGTATCTACTACAATTATACTTACAAAAGCTGTTTACAGTATTGCAGCCATAATAATGTAAAAGAGCAAAGTCAGATTAGATTTTCATGGTGGATGTTGTATTAAATTTTGAATTAACTTATATAACTGTCTTCAGCTGCAAGTACTTACAATGGGAAAAGATCAGAACAAAAGAGTAAGGAACAAACTTTGTTTTAATTCAATCACTGTATTGAATCTTAGGTTTAAACTTGATTTTTAGTGAATCATAATTTTTTGAACCTGTGATCAAAGCCTTCTATCTGACCCAGAATATACAATTTTAATTCAAAGACAAATTTTGTTAAAATTTCTTCTATTTTAGCTTAATTTAAGAAAAAAAAAGAAATCTTTTTAAATCTTTTTTCAATTTTTTCTTAAATCTTTTCAAATAAAAGGTAATGATTTCTCTGAATTAAAGTATTTCAAGTTTTGAATCGTTTTCTGGAGCCAGTATAAGTTTATAAAATATTTCAGGGTTCCTAAGTCTCATTATTTTTCCCCAGAGTTTTCACTGAAAAATTTCAGCCAGCCAGAAAAACAAGAAGGGATAGAAAGAGAAACTGAGGTATAAAAAAGTTAAAATAGTTTTCCAGCGTGTCATTAGATGGATATCAGCATTACAAATAGAAATTTCATCTCCTGCGTCCCTCTCTAGAGTGAGAAACACTAAACATTAAATAGATAAATTATTAGATGCAAAATAAATGTCTAGCCATAATTGTTCTGAGCAACAGAGGTCATTACAATTACTAGAACTGTTTACTTAGTCTCTGAAATCTTGTTCCTTCCTCCCTGGTACAGTCACAGGTGAAGCCCTAGTTGCCTGCTCCATCTCCATGGCACAAGTTAGCATGATAGAAAGGTAATTTTGTTTGTATTACTGTCTCTTCAGAAAGTCCCTCTCTCGTTGTCGAAGAATTAACAGGATGCTTTCAAATGAGTCAGCACCTCCTCCTACATTCAGTCGCTCCAATTCGCAGGCCTCCATGGACAGCACTTCCATGGAGGACTTTTGGTGTGAAGTGGAGAGCATCAAGGAGAGCAGAGAAGATGGATCTGATGAAGCAACAGTCTTGGAGTTCAAACCTGCTGATGGTGAGCACACAAACACCACTTCTTCCTTATGCCTTGGCTTTGCCTTCTCACTAAAGAGTCATGCCCTGAACTCCTTTCTCGTGTCACTCAGTATGAGCAAAAGTACTAGGCTGGGTCACTGTAGCTCTGCTTCTGAACAGCACAGTCAATCACTGGAAAGAAGCAATAATTCACTCTGATTTATAACTGGAGCTGGTAATTAACTTCTGAAGTAAGGTTTTTTTCCATTGACTTTGTGCTTCAGGAGAACAGATACAGTGTAATTCATAAAGGAGAGGCACTCAATGAAAGCTAAATCTCCAGCATTAAATAGACTAAACCAAAACATTTAAAGTGAAACAATTTATTTTGTTAAATTTATTTTGATAATTTAGTATGCTGGAATTTTAAATTTTCTGGCTTTTGGTTGGATATGATGCAGAAGTTATTAAAGTCTTGAAGGATTTTTTTGTTAGATATTGTTTAGTGCTATCAGGAATTTGATAACTGCCTGTTTCTATGAGCTTACCCAATTTAGATATAATTCAAGAAGAGTTTAGAGTTTAGTTCAGAGGTAAGTCTGAATATATGGATGCCTACATTGTTCAGACTCCGCACTTGACCAAATTCATTCATCACTTATGCAACATATCCTGAAGGTATTACTACCTCATTCTGTTATCTTAACCTTTTCCTCTCTCTTGTTTTGTACTGTATTTGGAAAAATACATAATAGTCTGTGCTGGCTTGTTGCAATACAGCTTTGTGTTAGATTTGATAACATGTAGAACAACAGTTCACATTTTTTTCCGGTTTTGACCCCATTTACAAATGCATTATATTGTGCAACACAAAATACCAGGTGTTACTATAGGATGAAAAAGAATTTCTTCTGAGGTCATGACCCACTGATAACTCTCTCTGGAGAACATCTTGTGGCTCATGGCTACTAGTCTGGCAATTACTGATCTAGGGATAGGTTTTGAAGCAATGGTGTGTTCTTTCCTTGCAATTATTAGCACAAGTGGTGATGAGGTTTTTTTTACTTTGACACGCAATGGGATGTCATTAGTTCTGCTCCCAGGAAGAATGGTGAAAAGGGGGGAAAAGTACTACATTATTAATCAAACAAATATGTAATCAGTCATGGTAAGTAACTTACACAGAGGTATCTAACTCCAACCATGTACTGTTCCCACTGGAAACACCTCCCACTCACTAGTTCCCGGTAGGGCTCTCTTGGAAGCCAAGGGAGAAGATCGGTTCACCAGAAATCTTGGTCCGCTATGAGGGTTATGGTCGGTCAGCTTAAATCTAAACTGCACTCCTCTGTTCCTTATTGGGAAAATTCTTGTCTGATCATACTCTTTAACTTGGAGACCTTAGAAAGAAGTTGTGAACCTACTGGTGTCTCTCCTTCATTCAGTTGTCAGCGTGAACTGACAGGTGTCTCTGACTTGTCTGCACCATCGGGAGAATGTCACAAATCTGTGAGTTACCAAGCTGTGTAAGTTAGTAGGGAAAGTCAATACAGAACCTCATTTTCCAGAAAGTTTTCCGTCACTTTCATTACTGCTGAACTAAATCTTCACAACAGCCCAAACTCTGCTGCAGTCCTATGTTACCCTTTGTCTGATTACACCTTATTACAATGCATTGATTTTTTCCCCTCTGACATGAATTAAAAATGAGACTGCAAGTCAAAGTGCAGTACATCTCCACACTTCATTTACCTTCGTTTTGTTGTTTTAAACATATATATATATATATATATTGCATACACTCACACACAACCAGGCAACGTTTGTCCTAGTTATTAAGATCAGGAATACATTCAGTTTGGGATTATAAATCTTGGAAGTTCTATTAAGGTCCTAAGAGGATAATTCTCCTTGCCAAATCAATGTGAAAACCCTTGGGGCAAAATAAAAACAAATATTCATCACCCTTTTGAGATGTCTTTGAGAGGAAGAGATGCAGGATCCTTAAAAAGAAGACCAAAGGGTGATAGCGGCCAGGCACCACTGATACTGTCAAAACCACAATGTGGTTTGCCAGACAACACATGCAAGGGACAGACAACAGCACACTTACTCTGCTGATGTTAGTAAATACAATCAAAAAGGAACAGAAGATTATAACAAGTGACACAAGGGGTGAAAATGTAGGGGAGGAGGAAGACATGAGGTATTTAAGATGTCTATGATGTACTGAGCTGCTTTATAACTTCATGTTTCAAGGCTGGGATGCTGTGCATTGTTTAAGATTATATCTGTGAGTTATTTCAGGTTATATCTGAAATTCAAAGCAAGGCACACCTCTTTCCTAGCAATCTCTATGAGAAAAAGATAATTACCTTCTCAATTATCTGTTTATCTTCTGGTGGAGCACAGTATCAAGACCCTGCTGTATAAGTAGCTAACTGTGAAAATAAGCTTTGTAAAACAACATGAGGGGTTTTTAACCTATGTTTAAAACCTATGTGACATAAGATTTTGAAGTTTTTTTAATGCATAAATTTCTTCTCTTTGATAGTTTTATTCCTCTGATTGCTGTTGCTATTTCTTAGTCTATTGTTTGTGAGTGGTTGGAACAGGAAGAGGCCAAAAGCCAGAGAAAACAAGTGGTAAGCAGGCAGAATTTCATGTCTGCCTTACTATTTTTCATAGCATCATGAAAAACGAGTTTGATTAAAAACTCAGTACTTGGAAAGAATATGTCAAGACAAAAGCTAAAATTAATATAATTAAAAAACTGAAACATGGACAGATGTGGCTCCAACAGCAGCACACAAGAATGAGAAGAGACCTTCTTAGAAAGAAGAGTGAGGAGGGAAGTTTGAAACTTACAAAGATGGGAAGGGAACACTGTAATCCTGTCTGTGGCTACAGAAAGGATAAGAGCAGAGAAGCTGTTTCATGGCATACAGGGCTGGTCACACCCCTGGCTAACACAGAGCAAGGGTTTTAGAAGCAGCTATTTTTGTAGAGCTTTGTAAAGAGGCAGGGCAGTTAACAATGAAGTCAGTGATGGCACATGCATAAGATGCTTTTGCTTGTCCCTACAGCCCAGTCCTGTAATTTTCTCTTTTGTGTATCTAGCTGCCAAAGTGCAGCAAACTGGTGTCCATCAATCAGCCTGCATTCTGATGTCAAGAAGAGGCAATAAAGGGAGAGTGGAAATACCAACCTGCCATTAAGACCAGCACTGGGACAAGAACAATAAGTGCATTGACTAGTTGTTTTATAGAACATGCTGCAAATTAATCCATTTCCTGTTTGACATGTTTATTTGTAGTACCTCTTCTTCAGTTAGAGCCGTAATGAAATTAGTGTCCTGTCTCAAGCAGCATACTGCTGAGCTAGGATTGCTCCCAAAACTGGAATGAAGGACCTCAAAATCTCCTATGTGATGAGAGATTTTAAAAGACTGTGACTATTTACTTCAAAAAGCAGACAAATAAAAAAGCAATGACAGCAAAATTTAAAATCACTAAATGATTCAGAGGAGGCAGACTGGGAGCTTCTGCTAGTCCAATAATGACAAAGCATATTAATTTAATGTAACAGGTAGCAAGCTGAAAACCTGCATTGGCTTTGCCTGGACAGGTTTTGGTAGCAGGGGGACTGCAAGTGTGGCTCTGTGAAAAGATGCCAGAAGCTTCCCCCAGTAGAGCCAGGATAGAAAACAATTTTTCACACAGTGCCTAATCTCACTATGGAACCAGTTGCAGTGTTGAACCAGCTGAGAAACAAGATTCAAGATATTAGTCACTAATTAAAATACCAAGAAATGCTGGGGTGTACAGTGCTAGTGAGTCTTTCATTATCAGAAATTAGGATGATACCTAGCACGCAAGGATGGCGATTTTTGCATATTCCACCCCTACCTGACCTCTTTGATACCTACTCCTTCCTGAACCTTGTTCTTTAGTGAGCAGCTCTGGTTCTTAATCATCTTGTTCACAACAAGCTGCTGGACTGGGTGTACATCACCCTTCTCTTAGTGTGGCTTCTTCACTAGGAGTCTGACTACCAGCTGGCCCTCTGACATCTCAGATTCCATTGTTAGTGTGCAAATACATTATTCTGTTGTATACATGTCTTCAGTATTTTTGTTTATTTGGATTCGAATACCAATTTAAATTCCATCAGCCAAATGTCTTTATCCAGTAGAGCATGCTAAAAATGGTAAGCATGGCATAAGTGGTAACTGAGGAGATTTATGCTCTTGCATTAGGCATTAGCTTTTAAGGACCTTGCTGTGTCAGGCTTGCTACTCTGTTGCCTTTTTCACACGCCTATGCTGATGCACAGGTTAGAAATGCCTCTTCTGTTCCTCTGGTAAGCCTCTCCTATGCAGACACTGACAAACTGGAAGTGGAGAGCATGTTGACAAAACCATCTTTACTTGCACTTGTGGCCTAGAAAAGGTTGGAATTGGTCTTGTCAAGGTAAAGGCTGTGGCAGCAGTCCGTCATGCCATTTCCTTTCCTTCAGCCCCCTTGCCCTTCCTTGCCAGGCCTGGTAACACACTCTCTTCCTTCACAGAAGGGGAACTGGAGGCAGAATGGCTGCAAGATGTAGGCTTATCTACACTGATCTCTGGAGCTGAAGAGGAGGATGGCCAAGCTCTGCTGTCCACTCTGACCAGAACTCAAGCTGCTGCTGTACAGAAGAGGTACAACACCTACACTCAGACCCTGAGGAAGAAGAACAAGCACACAGTCCGGGATGTGCGAGACATCTTTGGCACCAATGACTCTTCTGTAAGTATCCCTTTGATCTTAATTTTTATGCAATTTGCAAGTAGCTCACCAAAGTTTCTGCCAGACAGGAACCTTTTTCTGCTGACAATGTACAGACAGCCAGTGGCAGCTCCTGACCCTAAAATCAGACTTTTGGTACTCTATATGCTACATTTTGAGAAGAAAGGAAGACACCAAACACAATAGATGGTGCACAGTTTTGCAACTAACTTGTAACATAATGTTGTATCTGTTACCAGTCTTCCTCCTGCAATCTCCTACCAAGACTAACATTTACTCCTTTATTTTTTGGAAATTGGTGAGTTACTCTTGGCAGCTATTCAAATTTTTGACGGCTTCTGGGGACACTTGCTATTTACTCAGCAGTCTCAGTGGTGAAGTAAAACTCTAATGAAGCAACTGGGGTTCAAATATGCATAAGCAATTAAACACCTGCCAGCATGATTGCAACTGGTACACTGGCAGTTACATTTCACTTATGTAGCAAATGAAAATCTATTAACTGTTCATTTGCTTCATGGTTTCAGAAATGAGTGTTGCCTCTGGTGGTTTCTTCTGCTTTTCCCTGAAGATAGCCCTAAATGAACCAATTCCTAGCCCTACATGTTTTGACTCTGTTGGATGCAGTAAACTGTGTGAATTTAGTTCAATGCTCAAAGCAACATGCATGATTTTACATTTGTCACTCATGATACCTTAAATGGGAGTCACCAATAAGCTCACAGTCTCACCTTTGAAATTAATATTAAAGTTTTTGCCATCACAAAACTCCAAGAAACTCTTTTTCATTATGATTTTTCTTTGTCCTTTTCTGTTTGTCCTATCTTCTCCTCAAGGCTTGGCATCCTGGACTATTTAAAACAAAAAAAATTGGGATACAAAATTGTAGCTTCATAGTTATGATAAAATCAAAAAGATATAATGGCCATAAAGTTAACTTATTTGTCTCCAAATTTAAGTAGCTGGTTTCTTTTGAACCTCGTAGGGATATCTCACAAATACATCCAGAAGTATCCGGTAGTTTCTTGTGGTCAGACTTTCTTTCGTGAGAAATAATCAAGCATGTTTGCATGAACGTTAAAAAGCTGATGGTTCTTCTAATTAGATTAGCACACATCTCCTGACTCAAGTGTTTGTAAACCTTAATGTGTTTAAAAAAACTAAAGTTTCCTAATAAAATTCAATCAGAAAAATAAATGTTGTACCCGTTCTCTCAGATAGGCACATTATTGATGTATTTTTGACCTGCTTATTTTCTACTTTCTCGCTTTCTGAAGTTTCTCAGTTGCTAGAGGAATTTGTATCTTCAGAGCCAATTGCCTTTCAAATCACTTTTTTACTTCCTCTGAAATTCAGTTCGCTTACTACTTCTGCATTTTTAAAGTCTAAAAGATAGAATCAAATAAGTAATTAAGTCTTCTAATTTTTCTTCCCACAAATATATGCAGTTAGGCAGGTGCTTAACTAAATGTTAAACACAGATGCACAAATACAACTGCAGAACACACCATCACTTCCCTCCAATGGACTGTGAAAGATTGTATTTCTAAAAGCCTGCAAGGTTCCCAGCACCCTTTTGGTTTTCCTATTGACCATTGCTCTATCTCTGCTGCTTATTATGGGATTTAGGAACTTTGTGCTAATTATCAGCTCTTCAGGGATAAACACACTTCAGAAGAGCTTGTGTTCCCGACCTAAGGGTTTCCCGAGCAGTCTTTGTTAGGGGGTATCAGCAGTCCCTCGCGCTCTGCTGCCTCTTTGGGCACGGCACTACGGCTGGCGGTGAATCTTTGTGATGAATCAGCTTAGGAAAGAGATCCGCATTAAAAACAACCCAGCAAAAAGAAAAGAGCGACAGGAGACGGGAAGGGGCAAATCTTTTCAGCATAGCTGCTGAAGAGAGACTGGTAAGGAGACTGCTTGAAATGACATGAAGTTTTGCTTTCCCATCCTGCCTTTCTGTTGGGAAGGAAGAAGTAATCATGGTGCAAATAGCAAAACAGCTCTAATTGTTTCACATAACTCTATAATCCTCCCCATTAGGAGGATGGATTTACACCTTCTTCCCAACGACCTAAGAATTGCAAGAGCCTAGAGGGATGGGTTACAGAATGGTTTACTGTGTTCTGTGGCTAATTATGAGATAAAAGGTGATTAGCTCAATAAGGTCACCTGAGATGAGATTTAGGGGATCACTAAAGAGGCGTAAATAGTTGTCATCTGGAGTGGGGGAAAAGAAAGATAGATTTACCCTAGTTTTTTGTCTCTGTTCTGAAAAAAAAAAAAAAGCCTCCCTGATACATGTTTTGCTACTACTGCCTGGTGGCCAGCCTCTGCGGGAGTCAACACAGAGCAAAGGGTGCTTTTTCAGTCATCCTGCCTCGAGGTCCATCCCCTCAGGGCAGGAGTGTTCCCTCAACAGACAAAGTGGACTCAAACAAAAGGAAATGCAGCCATTCCTCCTTTTGTTTGGATTTTTTTCTTCTGTTGCCTATCCTGGAAAGGTGCCATGATCCCTGGGGGCAAAATGCTGCCCCTGTGGTACATCACCCTTGCAAGAGCCATGCCTTGGAAGAGCAGCCTGTCCCAGCTGAGGAGCTTTTGCTGTGCTTCAGACAGGTCTACAGCCAGGAGCCTCGACTGACAACCACAATACCGAGTTTTAAATTGGATGGTTTATTAATCACTGTGGCCTGATTTTTCTTACGGCTGGTACCCTGCTGCTTCCATCAGAAGCCATTGGCGTTGCTAGTGCTCAAAGCCTAGAAAAATCAGCAGAATACAAATGGACACACATACACATTGATTTTGTTACTGGAGGGAGGAAGTGCATCATGCTCATTAACAGCCCAGCTCTATGCCTTGTGAAACTCCTTAAGAGTTTTTAGAAGCATTTTACTTCAGCAATGCATGAGAAAATCATGTCCTGATTAAAGAGAAATCACTAACCCAGACCTATTTGCATGAAAAGGTGTTTGTAATGACAGTGCTTGGAAATATGAATATATTCAAAGCATTGGCAAATTATGTCCTGACCAGAACTATAAGGTTATCCTCCTCTGCCTTTATTTCCCTTAGCTACAGGGCTGACAATAGAATTTGGTTGCTTAGGTGCTGCAATGATTTGGTTTTACATCTTCTACAATGAGGGTAGCTACTAAAGAACTATCAACTTCATCTCCAGCTTCTCCTTGCTCTTCTGATTTCCTCTCCCCATTGGAAATTCCTGTGTACATTGTGGCAGTAAACAGTGGGTTCATTTTTAATATGTCTAATGAATCACTTTCAGACAGAAATCAGGGTATGAGAAGCTTCACCTTAGCTGGAGCCCCAGCCAGATGAGTAAAGCTGTTCCAGTTTAGTTAAGGACACAATTTGACTCTTGGTCTTTCACATTCATTAAGATCTTCCACAGTTTTTTATTCTTCTTTTATACTATAGAAATAATCTGGATCTTTAAAATTCATGTATTAAAAAGGTTTTATTCCCAGTCTTCCCTTTCTTTTTATCATATTATCTTAAGATTTTAAAAAAGTAAAATGGGGGGGAAGGAAGACATTTTCACAAAAGGGACATAGATTTGGCTTCTTTGTACACTCTCACTGTGGAGGCTGGGAAAAGAGACTGAGAATATGACATTTTAGCTACCCCTGATACTGTGCATGGTCCACATTATTCTATAATTGCCAGAAGCTAGAGCAGCCCACAGGCTGTTGCAAGCCCTGATGGGTGTGAAGCAGAGGTGTGCTGTCTGCTCCTTTCCGCTGGCTCTGTTGTGCTTTATGGAAGCGGGTTACTGCAGGTGCTTTGCTATTGACTTCACCCTTGTAACAAGGCTGGAAGTATTTTTTTCCTTAATAAACTTGACTCATTGTAAATCTATTCTGAAAACTGTTAGAAGGGTCAGACATTCTGAGCACTGAAAGTAAATGAGGGAGTTGCTAATGTTTACCATTAATTTCTCCATCTGGAACTTAAGCAGAAGCATAAGTACTTTTATGGTTGATTTTCCCAAACTGGTGAGATAGGTCTAACCATCTCCTCCACTTCCATACTCCCACCTGAAATATATAGTATTTTTAATGTCCTGAAGCTTTTTATGTAAATGTTGTGGGATTTTATCATAAAAGCATCCTATAGTTCTCCTTTTCAAAAAATCAGTAGTCCTTACAGTCTTCTGGCAAAGGAAGTCCATGTGACTTAAATCCTGTTTGCTCTCAAGTTCACAGGCTATTGAAAGGAGTCTCTCAGGAAAGATTTTGTTCATGTTACATTTGACTTTGTTACCCAAATAGCTCAGAGGATAAGGCAGAATAAAACAACCGCAACATTATTTCAGGCTTCCAATTTGAAGAGCTGCCTGTCTTTTAAATATATGACATTTTTTAGCAGCCTGAATGTTGCTCCTGTGTGTTGGCTACAAATGGGGAAGACAAAATTTCTGCCCTGAGGCATTGCTGGTTGTTGATAAACAGCCGATTTAGCAATTTAAAAAGCAATTTAAAGAGTGGGTATTGAGGGCTCATGGGGTCTCTCAGATGCAGGTTCAGCTAGAAAACTGGAGCTGCTCCATCAGGCTCAAAGAGGGTGAGGCAGCAGGTTTGAGAAAGGCGGAGGCTCCAAGGACTCCCACAAGGATGCAGAAGACAGCAGAAAAAAAATACGAGAAAGGTTTGGAATATTGTAGTTATTTTCACAGAGTAATCTTCAGACTATTTCTTTAATTCATGACCTTGATTTGTAGTTTTGTTTTTTTTACCCATGAACACATAGATGAGCTGCTACTGCCCCATGTACACAGAAACACTCGAATTTGTCTTTATGAGTCACAGAACTGCTGAGAACAAAGCCTAAATTCCACCACCAATAAGAGGTGACACTACTTGAAAGTCACCCCCTGGGCTACTAAGCTCTTTCTCTGCAGTGCAGAATGACTTTTGGAGTGGAAAGAAATTAATTTTACTATAGAAAATTTCTTCGTTCCCTCAAAAGGTTTTTTGCAGTCCACCGATAAAAATGTTAGTATGTGGGAGGACATCTGCCCATTAATAACTTGCTGGTGCCCAAATTGCAAGAGACAGCAAAGAAACCTGATTTCTGACAGATGCCTGGGAACAGCAGATATTCAACATGTGCCAAAGATTCTTCAAAAAGATTTGTGGCCAAAATGATTAAAAGCAGGATGAATTACAGTTCGACAAGGATCTTTTTCTTAGTGTAGTTCTGTACAGCAATTTACTTAGCTAATTTCAGTCATTATATAGGACAGGACTCATTAGGTACGGCAAGCTGTAATATTACTGACCTCAACATGATCAAATCTATACAGGCTGAGCAAAATTAATTCTCAGTCTTGGCTTTGAAAAATATACTCTTGAGAATCACAACAGATTGTTCTATCTTTTCAAAACAGCGTAAGCTGAGAATGATATACTGTTGCTTGAACTGTAGTAGTTTTTGTCCATCGACTTTTACCTTCACTGTAGTCTGATCATTTTTTCCTTGCTTATCAGCTCACATTTGAGACAGTTCCAGTGCCACCAGTTCCTTCTAACGGTATCCAGCTCCCTGGGCAGAAGGCAGTTTGGAAATCAGTTACCTGTGAGTATGACAACATGTAACCAGTATTCACTTTCTCCTGGAAAAATGACAGACAGACCCTTTTGTGGTTCAGGGGTTAGTCCCCTCTTTCGTGTTGAGGCAGTGCTGCATATATTTCCTTAAAATCATTGTCAGCTTATTGTCATGCAGGACCCAATGTTTCCTATTAATGACCAGTGTTGTACTACTCAGACTGCTGCCCTTGAGGCATCAGCATCTAAAAAATACTGATCATTGCAAGGCTGGGATTGTTAAAACAATCGCTAAACAATATTTTGCAGAATTTGTCCAAACTGTGTCATCACTGTATTTTCTTTTTGCATATCATGACAAGAAAGATTCTTATTTTCCTCCACATTTCTCTGGTACCGCAGAAACTGCAGTATTAGAAATGGATCATTTTCGTGGTTCTGCCCTATTATTCTGATCCACTAATGGTGTTACCCCTTAAATGCTTTGTCCTGACAGTGACTGGCACTGCTAATGAAAACAATAGCTCTGCTCTACTCAGTGTCTGGATAACTGTCAGTAGCCTTCCATGAGAAAGTCCATCTTTTATTTGAAAGCTTTTCCCATCCACATTGTTCAGGGCTTAACTAAATTAATATTAATACCCAAGTTACTAAACTAGTCCCTTGGATGTTTACCTCTGGGTATAGTCCCACAGGCATTTTCCTTGGTGGCAAAAGCTGCTCTCCTGATAGTTCTGCTCTTCAAGCAGTTGTACTGCGGCAGATGGGGAACCAAATTCCCAGGGCTACTGTAGACAGTCTGTGGTCCCAGGTCCAAGGGGGGAAAGACAGATGGAAAACATCTTAAATGGCTTGGCTATTAGATAAAATCTAAATCCACAGTTCAAAAACTGGAAGCCACTCAATAACACACTTAGCTTTTTTCATATCAGACTTGCAAAACAAAGGGTGTTGCAAAAAATATTTAAATCCCTGTATCTGTTAATGCAATGATTCAAAAAACATGGGACATGCACAGTTTTATAAAATGTGTAATGTTTTTTAATTAACTTTCTGATTTCCATGGCTTTTGAACACATTTGGGTCATGTTAGTAAATTCTTTCTTGCAGTCCTGGGTGATGAAATTTTACTTCACTTTCAGTTAAATTTATGATTATATTCCAGTTAGGTGAGTCTAGGAGTTGGACCTTAAGGGAAAATAAAAATTGACCTGAGATATGAGAGATCTGTCGTGAAAGTTGGCAACACTGGAACTCATGTATGTTATCACACTTTGGATTCCATGACAATAGCATATTACTGAACTTGATTATACTGATTTCAAAAATTTTCCTCTGGCATCCACTAACTTCAGGAGGTAACTAAAGAGCAATAAGTCAGTTCACAGTATCTACCATAAATGCCAGTAGATACAGTGTTTTTCAAAATGGAATGTTGTACGTTGTGTCCTGTTTCGGTGCTATACAACTGAACTGTCAACATTGAGAAATGTATGTCTGTGACCACATAAAATATATGCACAATGTCTTATGATTATAAGTAACCTAAGAAACTGTGTCAACAGCATTTTTCTGTCAAGACCTTTTATTTTTAATTGTTCATTAGACAAGTGCCACCACAGTTTGCTGGCTTGGGTAGACAAGAACAGAGTACAAAAACTTTGCAATTCCTGATAAACAGGAAGTTCCAGCTTGACTATCTTTCTCACAGAAAGCAACAAGTTAAATAATCTAAAATGAAAATAGGGATTTTATTTCTAAGGGGTTATTTCCTCCAGACAAAACAGGAACATGCTGTGGTTTGCACTGAAACTCCTCTTTGAAGCACTTCCTTTATTACTGTCTCAAGACTTTTGTCATCTTGGTTTAATTTTTTAATGTCTCTGTACTAAATGCAAGCATATATTCAGCATTCATATATTATTTCCCTTATTTTCAGCTAATAGCTGTCTAGACTGCGGACTAGATAAAGGCAGCCCATCCGTAACAGAAGAGCTCTCTTATGAGGTCTCTTTCTCAGAATCCATTACAGTCCTTCCAAAAACTCAAGAGTGGCCAAAAAATCAGAGGTTCAAAAAAGAAGACTCGACTTTGCCTGTAAGTTTGTTCTCGACATATTTCCTTGGTTGTTTTCTTTAATACAGCAATTTCCTGCTTTACACCCCAGCACTGTTGGAGTCTGTTAAGATACATGAGCTGTCCTTTTAGACACATGCTTTGTAGAGACTGCCTCCTGTGCCTGCCTTCTGCCTGTGATTGACTCCCAGAGAGGCACCAAAGTTAATATGGATATCCAAGCCAGGTCTTTACTTGTACCCATCACAGATGAATGTGTGTAACTCAGTCCACAAATATTGCATCATCCACAATTTTTTCATGCAGAAATAAAAACCTCTTACTGGCATGAAAACTAACAATCATTTTCATTATGGGTTTGCTTTCCTACTTTATTTCCCCCACAGATTATCTGCCTTAGTTAACACATGGATTTAAAATTGCTCCATAGATGAAGAGAGGAAAGCAAACCTTAGACCTGCAGCAGTACTGACTGTTTCCAATCAGTATTCAGTGCTATAGGAAATACTATATGAATGGCTAAAGAAAAATTTACCATATCATCCAACCAGACATACACTGAGAAGTTTTGTCATTATCTGGAATTATTTCGTGAAGTCAAGGAAATCTGTTTTCTACTTCCATCAGCCCTCACAACTTCCGTCACTGGAAGCATTAGTTTAGTGCTTCATATGCTGCCTTTTTAGTGACATGGATGATGTCAGCTGTAAATTATTTGGAAGCATTTCCTGAGTGTCATGATGTCCTGAGATCCTGAACTAATCTGAAGCTGTTATAATCCACACAGACGTTCATTTGTCCATCTCAGACTCTACCAAGGAAGAAGCTGAGATGCAGAAGTAAGCTTGCTTGTCAAAAGATAAGACACCAAGTAGATTACACAACTTGTGTGAAATCCCTGTGTTTTACTGTGTCTTTGGTTGTTTTGGGGTTTTTTGGGGGGGATAACTTGGTGTCCTGTGGAAAGTAAGGGTATTTCTGCATTCATCATATTTTTGGCCTTTACTACCACATGCACACACACAAATTGTTCTCTGCAACAGCTCAGAAAATTTGCAGTTGACAGGGGAGGGAAACTGCTGACAAAGAGTGAAGATGCCACATTGAATATCATGGATCTGTGGATTCATAATCGATTAGTTTTAGAAAAAGCCAGTCTTGTGCTGGGGTTGAACTACTCTGCATACAGGACATCATTTTGTGAGTTCATGAGTACACAAGAAATAAGAAAGGTCATTACAGAGAGAGATTTCTGAATAAAGTCAACAGTCATAGCTGTTGATGTTGGCATTCCCCGTACTTCATCTGCTGTCACTCATGGTATTTGGTTTTTTCCCATAATGACTCAGACTGTCATGGGCCTCACCTCTTGCTCTGTTACACCAAGCAACCAGCCACCTATACCCTGGAGGACTGTCCCTCCTTCCCCATGGTGGGCCAATGGGGCTAGACTGAAGACTGTGCAACATCATACTTTCTCCAGGGCAGGTCTGACAACATAACCAACTTCATGGATAGCGTATACAGAGCTGCACAAAGATATATTTTATGTCATAAAATAGCATGTCCCATGCAGCTCCCAGAATGGCCACCTCAACAACCCTGGCTGCATAGTGTTACATGCAGTTTCCCCAACATGGGACCATAATCCATGTGACTTAGTCAAAGATATTACAAAGCTACGAGTCAGTAAGCATATCAGGCCCATCTGAATACACTACATAGTTCCACATAGAAACAACATCACAAAATATATCAGACATGGTCCTTAGCCAAAACATTAGTAATCAAATTTCAGGATAGCACAGCCTCCTTCAGTGATGCATATTTTGACACGACTGTTCATAAGAAAAACCACTGGAAAATTGTGACACAAGACAGAAGAAAGAGGCCCAGCCCCAAACCTTGTGCTAACCACAGCATCACATCATAGTGACCCTAGGACTCAAACAGCCACCATGGAAAATCATTGTAGCACCTTTTGTAATCAGTTTTGAGTGTTTGGAATTTTTTCACCGGCAAACATACCTTTTCACTTTCCCCTCAGAAAATATACATGTACTGTCTGATTTTTTTTTCTTATTTTCAAGGTGATTTATTGTGCTTTGACTGATTTTGGACTTTTTGCATCACTGGAACCAAAATGCATAGATATTCTTTAGTATTTCATGTATCTTCAGAAGACTGTCCTGAATGCAACTTTTGTTACATTATTAAGTCTCAGCATAAGGGAATTGTGGAATTGCTCTGTTCTACAAAAGAAATATTCTGGGCTAAAATGCTACAGACAGCATGTTCATTAGTTATTCTGTTCCCTGAACTTTTTCTGCCCCAATTATTATTAACCCCTATTGACCATGTGCAGTATAATTTAGGAAGTCCTAAACTACATGATCTAGATGTCCTTTGTAGTCTCTTGTTTTTGAAATCTGGTGTACCTTTAAATTTTTTTTGTTTGCTTTTTATTTAATTAGTTTAACTGGCTTCATTTAAAGATGGTTTAAACCTATCAAGTCCAAATTTGTTTAAAAAAAAGAAAGACTGGGCTGAAATCTCCAGAAGCAAAACATTATTAAAGGCTGGGTTTCCACTCAGATCCCTAAAGGGAGGAGATGATTTGTAATACTATTTGTTTATATCTCTAACATTTTTTTAAAGTACAATTAAATTAAAAAGACATACAATACCAAAGATCTTTGAAAAGCATGTTTTTTACTGTAACTTTGTTATTATGTCTAACAATTATGTTAGAAACTGATGGGTATTTGTTCTTTTTGACATTTGTACAAATGTGTCTGTCATGAGGCAACATTCCTGGCTCCGGTCTACAACACTGCAGTTTCTAAAACATGTAGAAATCTTCACATGCCCTCAAATTCCTCAGTATCATTTAGTTCAAGTCTACTTGAATAAATTATTTCTTAGCTGTTGGGAGTCCTGCTTCTAAGCCCAAATGCTTTTTAAGCAATAAAAAAAACCAGTAAATTGGCAGGTTGGCATGAGGACTAAGTAATTTTGCTTCTGGGCTTTTCCACAGGTCTTTAGTTTGAACTCTTCTGTTAGACCTCATAAATTAATAGCATTATGCTAAGCAGGCATGTGTTTGTTACAGACACATGATTGATACACAACCATATCCATGATGAACTGTGTCAGCTACTTCAACAGCATTCAAGACATTTTGGGGAAGGCAGAAGCAGAGCAAAATGTTGCATCCTGCTGAAACAGGGCAAAAGTTTGAAAGTAGTATGTAACTCATTTGTCCTAGCTGGAGTACAGGCACAGAGGTGCTCCAACACCACTTCCCAGTCAAACTGCAAGGGAACATAGTGAGCAAGAAGCTCAGTTTTATGTTCAGGTGGACACAAATGATGTCATCATACCAGGCCAATATACAGAGCTATAGTTCATCTTTTTTTTGTTATCCATCTACCCTAACATGACTTCCTATCACATACGGGCACCTCCTTCAAAACAAAAATTCACTCCTTGCAATTTTTGTGCAAATAAAGATGCGACCCATCTCTACTGTAGAAATTCGTTGTTCGGAAAAGCCGGTTTGGACTGACAGAGGTTGGAGACCTCTCCCCTGAAGACATGAAGAAGATCCGCTACCTCTCCCTGATTGAGCTAACAGCCTTCTACGATGCACTGGGGGTGGAACTGAAGAGGAACCGTGCAGAGAGAGTGCGGGGACGAGGTACTGTGCTACGGCATCCCCTTTGCAGCCACTTGCGCGTCGATCAGCGTTGCAAAGAAGGCGTGTTTCCTTTTTTTCACATTTGTTGTTATTATTTTTAAGAGAATGGTCTTTTTGGAGTCCCTCTCACTGTGCTGCTGGAGAACGATCAAAAGAAGGTTCCCGGAATAAAAGTTCCCCTTATCTTCCAAAAAGTGAGTATAACTCAGCTTGCTTGGACAATAAGATTTGCTTCTCTATCATTTGCATTGACACTCAAATGAGTCATCAGATGAGAGAAGATGCAGGCTTTACAGACTTGCGGGTGCAAGTCAGACTACAGGCTGTCTGACTGTATATTGTGGTTTGAAAACTTCTTGACAAGAAGACAAAATTTACTCCTTTTGTGTGTTTTATCTGTGGTGGGGACCTCATTTTATTTTTGTAATGATATGAAACCACACAGGAAACTTTAGGAAAAAAATGTCTTTCTATTCCCCTTTTTTGTTAAACTAGAGAGCCAGGCAAAATTACGTATGTGCAGAAATGGCAGATGTGAGTTGTCTCAGGAGCTTTAATTTCACATTAATTGAAACTGTAGGTATTACTTAGCTATTATTTCCAGAATAGAAGTGATATCTTCTCATTGAGGTTTGTATGACAAGACAACACTTATATGAGCCATTTGGCAGTACAATGACATCTAGTGGATGTCTTGGAGACAGGTACACAGACACAAGTACATGTGCAATTACAACAAATTTCCCTGTATATACTGACGAAAGGGAAAGTGGTGTGGAGTGTCAGGGGAAAGACTGACACAACTTGAACATTTACATGACTTGGCATTTAGCTCCACAGCTCCTCTGTCAAAATACCATGGGAAATTAGAAGAATCCAAGTTAGGGTGGGAAGAAGATCTGGTGGTGAAAATCCAGAGCTGTATGATTGAATGCTAGGAAACTATTTTTTTCCAATGTTCAAAATTATGTCGAATGAAAACATATTTATTTTTCTAATAAAGAATTAGAATGGAAAGCTTATTCCTCTATTCACAGAAATTTCAAAATAGAATATCCTAGGATCATTTTCTAATCTGAGTTCTCAGTTCCCAAAAACATATGTTATCTATGGACCTTTCCATTATGCTTCTTGAGGCATACTTCAACATTTCTCAGAGGTTATTTTTCCTTCAGTACACCACTGTATTTTACCCAGTGTATCTGCTCTTTTAATAATACATTTATGTGTTAATTGTTCTATAGCAGTGACAACTCTCAAGTCTAGGACAGAGGGGCCTATTTCATTAGCAGTTTTCCATACACTGCATACTCCTTATTTCAGGTTCAGGAATATGGAGAACAAATTAGGCAGGTTTATTTACATGAGCTGGCATCTTTTCATGAGCAAATACCATAGAAATGTATCTTTTTCAAATTAGTTTCAAGGATACCAAGATTGAAAAAAAAGTTAATAGTATTCTTAAGTGCTTTTGAGTATTTTCCCTTCTGAGTGTTGTGTTGTCTTTCAGTTGCTGCTCAAGCTTGAGGAAACAGGTTTGGAAACTGAAGGAATTCTACGGGTTCCTGGATCTGCCTCCAGAGTCAAGGTACACACTCATGCCAGTTTTCCATCTTCTGGACCGCAGACTCTGTGTAAAATAATACATCACACACATAAATTCACACTGCACATAAATACTGATGTGTCTAGCTCCTTCTCCTGCCAGTGAAAGGTCAGATTGGTTCCTGGGAACCAATAATGCACAGAACATGTAGTCCATTGCTTTCTTTAGTTAGTGTTCTATATAAAGCACAGTCTTGATGTTGAATGCAGTTTTTCTCCATGAAACATTGAGGGATCCTTTCAGTTTATCTCTGTCATCCAAAATTGCTATGATCTTATCTCTGTTTTAATTTATTTCAGAAATTCAAAGTTGCTAAACTCAGTGAACATCAGATAAAGATCTTATTCTATGTCTTTTTAACCTCTGTGGCATTTTATTTCTCATTTATCTTCTATGATCTTACAATTTCATGTTCCAAGTGAGAGAAATTTGGCATATGTTCACTGCTGGCAGCCTGAAGTACTGCATTTTCACAGGCTGTTTTCGAGCTGTGAACACAGGATAGTTGGTACCCAGTCTCTTGACATTGTGGGGCAGTAATGCTTGCTATTGTTTCTCCAGACTAACTTGATTCTGGAAGCTGGCACAGGCAAGTTAGGAAAACAAGGTGGTTTTTGTTGGATTGGTGTTTTTTTCTGGGCTTAGTAGTGTCTACCTCATTCCCACATTTTTGCCTTTTTTTTTTCCCCCCTAGGCTTTTTTTGTTCTGGTTTAAGAAACACCTTATAGTGCATTTTACTCCCACTTTCTCATCCTCAAGAAAGTTAACCTTGCTTTCTGAGGTAGGAAGTCTCAACATTGTGGCAGCCATACAAATGTTGGGGATTGCTAAACTGGCTGGGGCTGCGAATCATAAAAAAATACTGTACACGGAAAAGTAACATTATGTGAAACACACCAAAGATAGGCAGTAGTATCCCAGCTCCTTTGACTCTGTGGATTGATAAAAGTACCCAGTGGCTTGAAAAGTGCCACATCTTGCAGAAGGAAGTTCCTAATTTGCCCTGTACTTTTCAGCTTCCTTCTTTTTTCATATGAATGCTTAAATGTTATTTCACACAATCTCAAATCCTACCAACCTCTTCAGGGAGATTACAGCACAGGGCTGTGCTCTAATTCAATTATTTTCATATTCTTTGTGTATGGTGTACTGTTTATTCACAGCCCATATCCAGGGAGCTGCTATAAGGTATGACTTTATATGTAACTCTCTTATACTGGGTGGTAAATTAAACTGCCCCTATGAAAGTTGTAAATTATTTGAGTTTTGGTTTTATTTAAGTCTGTCCAACGAGCCAACGATCAAGAGAGATTTTTACAAAGCAGATCCAGATTTCATCCTTCAAAGCCTTCATACATTATTATGACATTAGGATTTGAGGGCATTCCAACTTTATTTCAGTCTTGTTTGGAGAAAGAAAAGGCATATGGAAGTGATTAAAGGTTACTGTTCTATAAAACAAAGAATAAAGAAATACAAGTTTTCCTCCGTAATGTGGTTTGTAACAGAAGTTCCAGTGAACAAAAAATGTATGATGGTCTAGTGTAGGGTCAATCATGTTTAAAAAAAACTGCAAACACATATTTTAGAAGTATTTAGATGCATACATGTATGGGGGGTGGAGGGAATTGGGTGTATAAAATATATTCTTACTTGCTTGTGTGTATATATATATATAT